AATAATTACAGTACCTGCATTGGGGTCTTAAGTGGGGTAAATGATGGTAATGTATGCAACTATTCCATACATGGATTGTCTGGGATACCACATCACACTCGATGGAACATGTTTGCCGCAAAAATCAAAGTAAAACTGGCAAAACCCACAACATATAACTGCATTGCTCATGAAAGGGTGAACGTCTCCTGCCTGCAATCTATAAACAATAATTTTCCTCCCGTGCACTTCCAAGAAGCAGCATGTAACATGGCCTGCCTGGTATTCTCCCACTGACACTGTGTAGTTCTTCGGGAAATAGCCCAATGTCTCTGGCACGCCGGCTAAATGCCCCAGCGCCCATTCCGAGCCATCCTCGGCCAAGTCTGGATGAAGAATCAAATCAAAGCCGACTCCCGAACCATTTCCCTCAAAAATCAAGGTTCACCTTTTTCCGGCTGTCCCCTTGACAGCAGGGAAACCAATGCCCCAAAAGGTTTTATAGGGATTCCTCCGTCTCTGCCCAACAAGGATGGACATGTCCCGTACTATTCGTCTACTATATACAATCCAAACAACCCATAGGTGAGTCGTTTCTGCTTCGCCCCATGATGGTTGCAAAGTGTAACCGTGCTTGGTGGTGCCAACTCACTTGAACAATTTAAACAATGTTGGTCAGTAAGTCAGTGGGCTTAATCATCCCAAGTTGAAAATAGTAGACATATCTCTGAAACCTCCACCCAGTATATATATATACATATGCAGTATACGGGTATATAAACATATATATATATTACTGCTTTGGGGCAATGAAGTGGTCATGCACAACTATATAATGACATATCATAATAGGCCTCTGTCTCTTGGCCTATGGTTCGTTCGCTTCGACAAGCGTAGCGTCGTCATGCACGATCTCCACGACCTGGCCAGTGCTTAGCGCCAAGGGCTTCTGCCGGTTGAAGGGCCAATCGATCTTCGAGGGGTCAAAGTCATAGAGCGCCACCACTTTACCTACAGTGTGTTCTTTTGTTTTCTCTCTCTCTCTCTCTCTCTGTGTCTCTCTGCGGGCTTGCTTTTGGCCCTCTCTGCCTCGTTTTGAGGCGCCTGTCACATTGCTGGGGGATCATGTGCGTGTGCCTGTGTGTGTGTGTGTCAACTCCTGTTTCCAAGGAGCACGACCACATTGATTAAATTGCACCTTAACCCCTCTAGGTGTTCAAGCTGCACAGTCAAGCAGGGGGCCGGAGCCAGGTGGGGGGTCTCCGGCCAAGGAAGACAAAAGACACCCCCGAACTGGGTGTAGACCTACCTGCGCATTTTGTTTTAAGATCAAGTGATGTAAACAACATTAATTGTTTCGGACATATTCACCTTGCCGTTCCCTCTTAGGGCTGTTTCTCAGGTCTCAGGTTGCCCAGTGCTCTAAGCCGGTAATGTAATCACCAGAGTGGAGCTGCAATTAAATGATGTAAACAGTAAACAATAGTAAACAAGATTGTTTCGGACTTATTCACCTTGCCGTTCCCTCTCAGAGCTGTTTTTTTCAGGTCTCAGGTTGCAACGTTCTAAGCCGGTAATGTAATCAATATAGAGTGGAACTTCCAAACTAATTCAGCTCTTGCGAGCATGGATCTAACTGTGTGTGTTTGTGTGTGTGTGTGTCAAGCATGTGGGTAGCGAGATGTGATGGCTTTCATGGTGGTACCTTTGGACGATGTGGGGTCTTGCACCGTGGAAATCAACTATTAAGTGAAGAAGACTGCAACACGTGAAACTGGAGTTGACCATGAGTCCATCCATATCCTGCCCTACAAGTTCGCTCTAAAGGCTCGCTTCGCTCGCTTCGCTCGAGAACGGATTAGCGCATAGCTCGGCTGCTCTGATCCGCAATCTTTGATGGATCATCATCTGCGTCTTTGAACTCAGCCATGACTAGGCGAGGCTAGGCCGCTTTCATGAGCCTGCAGCACGAACTTCAGGTACTTGTACACCAGGTGCTGTTGCACCAGGTCAAAGCTGTCTTTTAAAAGTCGAGTCGGTTGCGTGGGGTGGCTGGACTTGTTGGATAAGTTGAGTACTGCTGCTTGGTGAGGCTAGCCGTATGGATCCAAACGATTGGACATCCTGACCCCATGCACATGATGAGCCCCTCATTGAGCCAACGACAGCATCGACGGATGCAGCCGCCAATCTTGCGAAAGAAACCACGTGACCGTTTTCATGGTGTTTTCCGGTCAGTCGGTCAGGAACTAGCACGAAACCCATCAACGCTTCGTGCAGCGCTTCGGCTTCGTACGTGTTGTGGTTGCCCCGGTGGTGTTGTTGTTGCCCCGACGTGGCTTGAAAAGCACATAAAAGCACGCACCGAAAAGCATCTCGCAAGAAATGCACCATGAGCGCACATACCCATACAGTAAATCTCCGGGGCGACTTGTAGACGGTTTTACTTATAAATCGTCCATCCCGGGCCCACCGCACAGAGACATCCTGGGCTGAGACAATGCCCCAAATGGGGGGGGAGAGTCTCAACCTCCTTTTTGCTCTTCGCCCGCAGAGAGCGCTTGGATCTTGAGCGGCCACGTGGTCGGGGACGACTCCTGGTTGATGTCCAGTCAACGCCTGGTTCTCCTTGGATTGGGGATCACGAACAGACCGGATCCTCCAGAACGTTTGCTGGGGGCTGCACAAAGTTGCGCTAGCTGTGCCACTAGAAGGATGTCAAGACTACTGAGATCTATTGAGCTATATTGAGCTATGCCACCTTACCTCCCCTCCCGCCTTACTCCACCTGAAAGACCAAGGTCGGTCAAAAGCCTTTTGCTGCCTCGGCTTGAATGTTGGGAAGCAACAAAACACTCCAAGCGTTGGATCTCCAGGCCTCTGAACCCTCTGCTTCTTGGTTCTCAAAGTCCTTCAAGAGCTCCTGCGGCCAGGTTGGGAGCTCTTTCAAGGGGTCCGGTGGGTGAGTCCTGCAGTTCCAGGTGATTTCTCAAACCAAACTAAGGGAGAAGAGCCAAGCCGGCGATAGTCAGTCCATGTCTGTTCTTTCCGCTGTCACTTCATACGCCAGCTTTACAGCGGGCACACCCCCAAAAGAAGGGCAAATCATGGCAAACCAAAGAAGCTTCACTCTGCAAACGTTACGTTGCTCAGAAGTTCTTCAATTCGATGTTTTGCTCCGTGGTGCCTGAGGTCGCCATCTAGAGGGCTCCAGGTCGCTCCTCGTATTCAGACACCGACACGGTGTAGTCCTTGGGCACATAGCCCAACGGTGCCTCTGGTCCCAGCTTTTGACAAAAGACCCACGCGGAGCCATCGTCGTAGACCACTTCAAGGACCTACCCGTGCCCATACGCGGGGGAGAAATCCAAACCGGGAAGGAGTCATGCATAGAGACTTTGCCTTTATCATCCTTTATCTATACATAGCTATCCTTTTCCCAGGAGATGTGTAGTAACACGGCATGTGTAGTAACACCATGGCACGGTAAATCGATGCAAATCACTAAACTCATCAAGCCCAAACTCAAACCATCCACGTATGGAATAGTTATACGCCACGGGCCATGTCCATGCATAGATGGCCCGGGAAGTTGCAACAAAGTTTCAACACCACCTGTAATTGGGCAGCGGCATTGTTTCAATTTTAGGACTCCAAAAGGTGATCGAAATGAGCAGCCCCGAGGACTGGTGCCCTGCTAGAACCCTCTGGAGTCTCAAGATCGAGTTTGGACCCCAAAATGGAACACACACACACACACTGACTCAGGAGTGGAGGCCCCTGCAATCGGGGGTGAACTCCACTTTCATGTGATGTGTTTGTGGGAGAATCTCTCTCAGAACACCGGTGTTTTCGTCCTTTGGTTCCCGGCCCGTCGCCCCGTCGTCCTCCCCAACGTTCACTGCCAAAGGCTTTTGGCGACTGAAGGGCCACTGTCCCTCGGCCAGCATGACCGAGGGGTTGAACTCGTAAAGGGCCACCAGGCGCTGGCGCTCCAAAACGGCCGCCATGGCCGCCGTGCTTGGGCGTCTTTTGTAAAAGGAAACCCGAGGGTATTGACACCTGAGATTAAAAAAACAACTCGGTCGTTGTGATATCAACGATGTCGATATTAAAGGAGTTTGGATTTGGAGTGATGTGGCAAATGTTTACAAGGGAACTTACACAGAGCCAAACACATTGATTTGTATTGCGAAGAAGCCGCCGCCAAGAAATATTTTATCTGGCGTAACTGGTGTTTACTGAATCTGCATCGAAGCTATCTTCCACGTACCTCAATGCGGCATTGAGCCACTATCAAGCCACTTGTAGTACGCAGAGTATACTCCTATACACTATACCGCACATAACCTTTACAGTTCCATTCTTGTGATCCTGTGGTGGGCATGATTCCCCATCGTGCAAATCGGACACGGATGGAGGAGAGGAGGTCTTCCAATGCTTTCGACATTGTTTCATTTTATGATGGTCTTCTCGCTGATCACATGGCGCAGCTGAAAAAGGATCTGAAACCAGCTGTAGCAGAAAACTCCAGGGACGAGCGAGGGACCAGCTGCCTGCACCATCCGGGTGCTGCAGGACCTCCATCGCTGATGTACAACATTGTGCTACTAGCCTTGTGATTCACAGGAAAGGCATGAAACAAAACCGCTGCAATCTACTGGAATCACAAGTGCTAAAGGTCGTCCTGCCATGAAAAGCATGAAAAAAACCACTGGGTGGTCTGTGGAAATCAATGTAATGGTCCCTCCTGCCATGATCAACCTCACTTCTCAATGAACCGTTCAACAACTGGTGGCCGCCACGTGCGAAATCCCTGTTCAAGAGAATGGAAGGACGAAAAAGTGACCTAGTTTGGTGGTTTCAACTCTGAAAAATATGTCAGTGAATTCAATCATCCCAACTATAAAGGTTGAACATAAACTGAAACCACCACCAGTGACCCCATCACCAGCCGGTTCCCCTTTCAGTGTGCCAAACCCACCACCCACCCGACCCCGGATGTGTTGTGAGTTCGGCACCCAGCGAAGGTACGCCACCACGTCCGCCTGGAAGGTCACCGCGTGGAGTTCTCCACGCGGCGACCAAGTGCCGCCCAGGGTCAATGGTTTCCTCAATCAATTGGATTTAGAATGCCCCAAAACTCCACGCATACCACATACCTACATTGAGGTGGTGCCACGATATGCCATACATGGAGCATTTAAACTATTTAGGGAACTGGTTGGTCCAAACAACCCTTGAACATCTCGATATAGATTTGCTCGTCAGCAATGTCAGGAGATGTTTAAAGAGTGTGAAGTAAAAATTCACACCAGTGGCATCCGTGTAAGCTTGGACATTTTGTCATGCATGGGGAATGGTGAGGCTGGGCATGCCAATGCTGTAATTTCTTACTTATACAAATACTCTCGCCTATTGTCACTAAGCCAACTTCTTCCGAACAAACATCTGAATGGAGACTTATTAACATGGAGAACGCAACTTCAGCACAACTACGCTTCAAAGCCAGTTGTGAGCAACAAACACCGTTTTTTTGAATTTCTCAGTGTAAGCTCAGATCTGTCAGTGTTCCGCTTCAATTTGCCGAAGTCCAACACCTGAAGTCCACTTGTATCAGTCTTCCCCGGCCACTGACTGTGTTCCATCATGCAAGGACGGTGTCACCATGTGTTTCCCAATGTGGAAAGACCCTCAGGTGACCTGGATCTCTCCATCTGGTCCCACCTCGGACACGCCGGGGCCAGGGGTTGACATTGACACCACCTTGGACGGATCGGGGCGATCGAGCACTCAGTGTTTCCGTGGTTGGTGGGGCTCGATGCAGGGGCCGATGCGGAGAGATCAGAACGTTGGTCAGATTCGAGTTGCTTTGAGAGATCGGTTTGTGGGGCCGGTTTCTTCAGAAATAGTCTGGGGAGGTCTAGGGTTCTTCATGCCACAACGCCACCTTTCATTTTCAACACTCAGAATTCCTGATTTGGCTGTGGGTCGGAGACAGACCGACTGGTTGACCACCACATGAAATCAAATGAACAGAATAAACGGGCATACATGGTTTTCGTGTTTGTGATATGTTTTGATTGGTTTGGGGATCCAGGTTTTGATCCACACCCTTTGGAGCCGCTCTCCGTGCTTCGGCTCCATTCGGCTCCCAGGCCGAGCAGTCGCCTTGATCGGCCTGGCCGCCCGCGAGCGCGCGAGGTGGTGGCGCTTGCTTGCGCGCATCGGCGGTGGCAGCGAGACGGGTGAGAGCAAAGCGGTGGAAAGCTCAGCATGTCCCGATCAGTCCAATTTTATTACTAGGAACTTGAAGCTACTAGTAACAAGTGCATCGCTACTAGTAACAAGTGCCTTACTAGTAGTAACAAGGAAGCTACTAGTAGCCATATTAATACTCAAACACTCCACTTTGTATGCCATATTTGCCTTGCCGATCAGTTGGGGTGCTGCCAGGGGGTTCATGTATATATGTTCCATACATTGAAATATGTTGGGAACTGGTTGGTCCAAACAAATCTTTGGTCCAAACAAATCTTAGGCATATAATTGCATATATTCCATACATGGAGTGTATGGGATATTGTATATAGTGACTGATCTATAATAGAGGAAGATAGTGATCCTCTATGGAGGGGTCCTTCTAGGAGGCTTGGAGGGTGATATAGAATCTAACTGCTTTTGGGACATTGACTGTATCATCCAGCTGATGGGACACCGACAAACCTCGTGGACCAGACGCCCTTCCAAACCTGGTTTACGCCGCAAGGTGCACGCCTGACGGAGCAAGGCTTCCAGGTGGAGCTTGCCTTGACGGATGAAGCAAGGCACCGACGGAGGAGCAAGTATGGAACCGGTCAAATACGGAACATGGAACCTCATAATCATCCTATATACATCCTATAACCGATCTACATCATCGATTACATCGTTAATAAGATGAACACCGGCATCATATTCCAGAAGCTACATAAGTGACTCCTCATTGTTCTTGGCAAGGGGCCCTGTTCATAATCAGTAACAACCGTCAACAGTAAAAAGTAACACCACGCTGGTTATATATAATATGTTATGTATGTTATGTCTAAAATTGAAGAGTTATAGAGTTCATGATGGTGGTTGGCAAGGGTCCTTGCTGGACAGTTCTGCAAAAAAGTTTCAAGATGGCGTAGGGCAGGGCAGTTGAGCAATGCTTGGATGAGTATCTGGAGCATTTGTAGCTTCATTCCAAGGGTTCTGGAGAATTGAACGAACTGCCCCCGTCTGTTATACATGTCATTCCCTGGATGTGTTTGGTCTGCCCCCAGGCTGAACCACTTCGGGTGGAGGGAGGCGAAGTCGGAGAGCGTTCAAGTTTGCAGAACGTGTCTCCAACATCTACAGTGGTTTCAAGAGTAGATGGCACAACCACTGTACTCTTGAAACCATATTTGTTGAAACCACTGTACTCTTTGATATATTTGTTCAATATGTGTTAAAATATATATCAAAGTCCCCTGGGCATGGGTGTCTATTAACCACCGGTCCTGGTAAGAAAGTGCCATCTAGTCTGAAACCACTGCAGAATCGATCTCCTGCGCATCGAAGGAAAAGCCCAAGAAGCTGTTGCCACAAGCTCCAGCACGGCGACCCGATTGTGACCGCAGGGCCCACAGGCCTGGAGATGTTTGCCGGACCCAGGCGAACTCTGAGAATCTTGCAAAACACACACATAAAAGCAAATATAAAAGCAAAAATAAACACATCCAAAAAGAAAAACAACATGAAAAAGCAAATGGCATCCTTTGTTTTTTGCATTTTTTTTGGGGTGTCATGGTTTGTTTGTTTTTTTTTTTGCTGTGTGCATTGTTTTGTTTTTTTGTTCCGCATGTTTGTCTCGTTGTTTTAACGTTGTTTTTGTTTGCCTTTAGTTGATTCGCTATGTGTTTCTCCGTTTTCGTTTTGGCTGCCTTTCGGGGACGCTATTGTTTTCACTCTGTTTCCGCTTTTGATTGTTCATTTGTTTTTGTTGCTTTTTGGATTCGTGTTTTTGGCTGTTGCATTTTGTATCATTTTGTAGTTGCTTGTTTTTTTTACTACCATTTTTTTCGTTTTATAATTTTGCAAAACCATCAGAGATATGCTGAGTGGTTAACATAATTCTATGGGGTCTCAATTGTATCCACCCAAATATGCCCACCTTTGGACACAAGTTGTCACATTGTCAATGAACTTTCGACCTATGCGCAAGGAAATGCCTCTCTTGGCGCTGTCACATGACCAAGGGTCGGAGCAAAAGTTGGGTTGTTTCTCGGCTGCCCTGTCTGGCTGCCAACGATTGTTTGTAAGAAGTTGATCCTTGGCCTAACAGTGCCGCAACATATTGGAACATGTGACTGATTGGTGGTGATCATGCACAGTAGATGTTGAAAATTGAAATATGAAACCTCTACCCAGGTGAGACCCCAACTCTTGGTTCAGCGTGGCGAAGTTCACCCTCCATCTTCCCAGGCCTCAAAATGGTTCCTCTTCAAAAGGGCAGCAGGGGGGGGCCCATCTTCTGCGAACAGAAGTCTCAAATAAACAAGCACGCAAGAAAAACAATACAATCATCCACCCACCCACCCCACCCACCAAAAAATCATCTTCTACCACACGCACACGCACCACCAAAAACAAGAAAACACCACAAGCCGTGTTCCGGGCACCGTATGGCACCGTGCCCGCCCGAAGGTTCCCAAACGCTGGCGCCCCGCACCGGAGTTGGCCAGGTGACCCAGCTGCTCGCTGGCTTGATGCCCAAGCTGACCTGGCTTTCTTCGCCCAGGCGCGGTAGGTCTCCGAATGGTTTGTGGTGGACGTGCGGACGTGGAGATGGCACGGGTTTCTTCAGCAGTCGAAGAACCAGAGTCAACGACCTGGTTGTATCATACAGCGGGGGGAAGGATGGGCCAGGCCCTCCCTGAAAGCATGCGTTTAGCAGGTACCACGTGACCAAGATTTTAGAAGAGTCTCCCAGTCACAAAGAAACATTCTCAGCGAAGGATTGCGTGGGAACAGCTGGGCCAACCTGGCAAATTGGGAGGTATTAGGATGTATTCGGAGCACATGTTCCTCCCTTCCACCCAGACTGCATGTCGTCTGCGGCATGTCGGCATGTCTCAATCTAATTATATACAACTAAAAAGAAGGACCTGAGAGTAGATGACACAATCACCAAAAGGATCTTATATATATATATATATGGATCCCCATCTGTCTAAGACATCTTGGGGTGCCAGTGCCATCGAACCGAAGGACCGCCACGGGTCGCCAAAGTCGGGTGTCGCCCGCCGTCCCCAAAGCCTCCCGCCACGGCCGACTTCTTGGCGAAATCGCGTAGCGCCTCAGGTTCCGCCCCGACGTTGGAAGAAACAACGAACCAATCTGGAAGGCTTGTGAGAAAAGGAGATGAGGTGCTACTCTTGACGTTGATGTGTGAAATCACTTCAGGAATAGAATTTAGACATGAGTATAGACCATGCGCCCGCACAATGCTTGTGTGTTGGGCGTGAAATCGTCTCCATTTCAGAGACAGAATCACCAATCTGCAAGCTTGCAGGCGCCGCAGGCCCATTCAAAAGGTTCATGAAACATTCGCCCGTGAAATCGTCTCCAAATTCCCTTTTGGATGCCCCGAACTTCGCTGCGCACGGACGAAGGCCGTGCACTCGGCGGTGCCTTCACCGCCACCTCCGACGCCCAGCTCAACGAGGAGCTGGGCGATGCCGCCTCGGGAGCCGATCCGCGTGGGACGCCGGAGGGCCGGAGGAAGGCCGGACACATCGAACGAAGGTGAATCAGTGAACAAAGGGTCATGGTGTCGTGAAGAAAAAGAGGTTTAAACGGGAATTTCATCATAGGCGAACTGTGCAAATCTCCTGTTTGATGTTTTTTCGGATGGGCTTGGTCCAAATTCCTTGATAGGCATGTTGCACTTGAAAGGTTTCTTCATACGGGTTTGTTCATCTGATGTTGCAAGGCACACATGCTGACAGAAGACCTTGCAACAAACAAAGGCCCAGTGTCCAAAGTAATGAAACTACGGCGTGAATACCCTGTACTACCAGCCCTTCACTAGGACCCTGCCCAGAACCATGCTTAGGGCCGCATCAGTGCTGTTGGGGTAGTGTTGCCCTTGTCATTTCGATCCCTCCTGGGAAGCTGCGGCCGTGTCAAACCGGGCTCCCCCACCGCGGGCTTGACATCGTCGCTGCCCAACTCAGTCTCGATGCTGGGAGGACGCCGGAACTTCCACTTCTTCCAAAAGTGGGCCTCCCGTGACCGTGACCAGACTCCATGTTGATGTACACATATGCCAAAGGTGGAGTATTTGGTTCATATAAGTGGAGCAATATATATATATATATCCTTGCGGCGGTAATTCCGCCGTCATGACAAAACGCACATTGTTTGCGGCAATTGAGGAAACACACCTTGCATGGGAAGGCACAGCCGCAAACGCAGGCAAACACGCCGCAAACGCTGGCAAGCATGCCACAAACATGGGCAAACACGCTGCATTTTAACTGTTTCGACTTGAGATGCAAACCTCCGTGTAGCGTCGAGATGCCGCAATCCCAACCCCAACAAAGTTGCGGCATTTCTTCCAAAACATTTTTTTTCTCCTGGCTGAGTGGCATCAAAATGTCCAAGACAGTGGAGTCTGTAGGATATATAAAAAAATATACCAGCACCCTCCAACAGGTTTGCTCTGGAGGCTTTTGGATACTTAAAAGTGTCAGGTGGTGCCCTGTTGGAGGGTTCTGGTATATATATATATATAGTGACTATAATGTTTGGTACAATGCACACTGCTGGAACAATTGGTGGGGCCAGTGAGTCTTGACAGGCTGAGTGATCAAACTTCGCACCTTTCGTCGACCTGGGCGGCGTTTGCTGCCGACCGGGCCTACAATCACGGTCGTGAACAGGTTTGATACGGTTTGATGAAAACAGTCACGAAGACTCATGACTCATGACGTTCACCAATTCCAGACTCCCAAACACTCCATGTATGGCATACTTGCCCATACATTGACCCCTGAAACCACCTCAATGTAGGCAAACATGCCATACATACATGGAGTGTTTGGGATTGACATTCACCACTGAAGCACACGTCGAAGTTCACACTTTACAGGTCACAGGGTCATACTCAGTGGCCTCGGTCATACTCAGTGGATCTCAGTGGTGGATCTCAGAGTCCTACGGTTCAATGTGGTATCATCTTTCATCACCTTCACCGCCTTGCCAAACAAAAGGCGGCGGCACCCGTGGTTTCTACAATTTCCACACCAAGCATCACCTTGCGCCACCTCGCTTTGTCCGCATGTCCGACATGTCCTCCACCCGCCTTCCAGGACGACGGCTGGGCGTCCTCATGTTCCTCCTCCTCTGCCGAGAAGAACTCTTCATCGTCGCCCTCCACGGAGCCGCCCTCCACGGAGCCGTTCTCGACGGAGCGGTCACCTCGGGAGGACTGAGGACGGCGTCGAGGTTCAACCAAAACGAAGATCGAGTGCCCAAAAGGTCCATCGTGGTCCACGTCCATCCTGAAATTGGGTGTGCCAGAGGTCACATGTCGGGGTGGTGTTTAGTCCCATCCAGTGAGTGGATAATGGGCACCACTAACTTCCATGGATAGCACCCCTTTGTGACTGCTGGTGCAAGATCCCCTGGCCGCTGGGTAGGCGTTGCCTGAGAGGGAGACCCCTAGTTCAATACGACACCCGAATGATGTATGGAATCGATCTTTACATCAGGGTGGTTGAAGCGAGGTACATGTAGGCCTAGACCTGGACAGTCGAAACGGCACACAGAACACAGAAGTGCCCTTTAAGAAAAACACATTAAAACACACATGCCTTTTGGGTGTCCTTTGCCAAACACCGGCGTCTTTTGCTGTGACAGTGACAAGGCGGTCCGGATAACGGCAAATTTTGTGGTAGCGAGGTGAGAAAGCGAAAAGACCCGGCGACTTTGGGCGTCTAAACTTTCCCCGTCCATAGATTTTGAGCACAAGCTCGCAACCTTGAAGCGACATGTTTTTGATTACGCCATCTTTTCACTGCATCCCAACAACTATTTCGGCCTTTTGAAGAGACAGGTAGGCTGTCTGGGTGTTTTGAGGGAGGGCCTTTCGTCTTCTGCTCTCTGGACGCCAGGTGACTAGGACAGGATACGGATTGATGGTTGGGAGGATGGAGCATGAGAAGTCGAACACATCGTGTTGCGGCAGGTGCCTTCCCTTCTGGTGCGGTGCCTTTGCACTTGTAACTGTTTCTCGCTTAGGCCACCACGAAGAGAGCAAAATTCGGTCCGAACAATTTGGAGGGAATTCGCGTGAACTGAGGGTTTCAGGCTGTAGTTCGTTTGGTGGACATCTTCGGGGGTGTCCATGGGTATGGATGAAACAATGTATAGTTAGTGATCCTAGCTACCAAACACCTGCATTCTTCGAAAGGACAAAATCCAAGGGCAAAAAGAACACAGAACAACAACAAGTGTTATTTGGTCCTTGCTTTGGACATCAAGCAGCTCCTGTTGTCTCATATCACCATAGGATCGTAGGTAGCAGGATGTTACATGAAGTCACTATGACCGAACTTGCATCTACATGATCCGTTTGACAAAGAAAACTGCACCAAGCCTCATTGCCACTGCTTCATAGCACCAGGACACACGACCCAGGTCGACTCCGGTCGACCAAAAGAAAAAGACTTGCATAATACACCATAATGCTGTTATAAGATACTATAAGTCATTATATACACGTGTTATACTATTAATTGATATGTGCATAATACGGTTGTATATATATATATATCAAGTATATAAGTTTTTAGTTGTGCAAAACTCTGCTGTTAGTTAGTCATCACAACCCGCCCTGAGTCAAGCAGGTCCCGGCCTGGAAGTTCTTCTGGAGCATCGTTGGCTCCATCGGCAATCCGCCGCTCCAGTCCCAGCCTGAACCATCGGGACCCCCCCAGGAGTCACAAGGAGTGACATGGAGTTACAAGTTCAATCAGGCTGAAGAAAGCTCCAGGATCTTCAGGGATCTTTAGGATAATTAAGCTTGTTGCAAGCAAAAGGATCGCGTTGAACCTGGCAATTGCTGAGTGTGTTGCATAATTCTATGCCATGCTTACATCAAAAATGGATGCTGCCATGAACGAAAGCACCCAAGGACCAAATTTGAGGACTGTGTCCCGCCTTGAAGCTCCTTTGGAGTCTTATCACGTTGTTGACAAACAACATCAGTAATCATCGTCTTGTTGTGTTACGTCGTACCATTGTAAAGAACATCATCCCGATAAATCCCCAATATCAAAGGAAAGCAAAACTGCTACCAAGACCTCAAGTCAAACGGCAAAGTTGGGACTTAAATAGACATAAGCAGTGTCCAATGTGTACAGGGAATTACGTTTAAATCTATTTTGGGCAGGGTCAGAGTCCTGGCCGCAAATCTCACTGCCAAGTCACCTGTGGTTGTCACCTGTGTGGAGAAGGAAAAACCGCTCCACTTTCATAGTTTCTCACAGCCAGGTGTCACTCTTCCCACGGCCATCTATCACCCTGTCCGGGTAAAAAGGAGTCTGGCCTTTTGAATTTAATCGCTTCATCGTAGGCCCGGCAGCAGCGAGGGCATTTGTCCAAGGCTGTCAAGTGCCCGTCGACACCTTGGCGGGAAGTGGCACGGAAGCAGCGATCAAAATGGCCGTTCTTTTGCTGACCTGTGCTTAGGCGGGGGGTCATTCCCTCATTCCCTACGAGTCGCACCAGTCAGAAAATGGGTGTTCTTGGCTGCGGATGTGTGCAAAGGAGGTAGCTGTTTCACTGTTTACGGTTCTTTGCCCGGTTTGTGTGTGTGTTGGCAAGATGTAGAATTCACATACAAATCATCCAACATAGACGGGAATACAGTGGCAACAGTTTCCAATGATCTTTTGAGGGTTTTCCTGATATCACGCTCGCTTTTATCATCTTTTCTCCATGTGGTGGAGCAAAATTGGGTTTGTTACACACAATGCAGTGGGAATTTGGCTGCTTGAGAAACATACCACTTGGGAGACTTGGGAGACAGGAGGGTCATGCGGGCCGAACCCAAATCCCGAAAAAAAAATACTTTACTTCGAGTGATCCCCACCATGACATTTCAATCATTTGTCTTGATGCCATAGTGAGGAGCATGTTGCCATAGTCGTTAGATGTCGTTAGTATTGTAGTTCTCGATGTTGCTTGTGGGTCCTCGGGTTGTGTGCTGTGGTTGTGTGCTGTGTTGTGGTTGTGGTTGTGTTTGTGGTTGTGTGTTTGTGGTTGTGTGTTTGTGGTTGTGGTAGTGGTTGTGGTAGTGGTTGTGGTAGTGGTGGTGATTGTGTGTTTGTAGTTGTGGTTGTGGTTGCGGTTGTGTCTTTGTGATTGTGTGTTTGTAGTTGTGGTTGTGGTTGTGTCTTTGTGATTGTGTGTTTGTATGTGTTTGTAGTTGTGTTTGTGGTTGTGTGTTTGTGGATGTGTTTGTGGTTGTGTTTGTGGTAGTGGTAGTGGTTGTGATTATGTGTTGGTAGTTGTGGTTGTGGTTGTGTCTTTGTGATTATGTGTTTGTAGTTGTGGTTGTGGTTGTGTCTTTGTGATTGTGTGTTTGTACTTGTGGTTGTGGTTGTGTGTTTGTGGTTGTGTTTGTGGATGTGTTTGTGGTTGTGGTTGTGTGTTTGTGGCTGTGTGTTTGTGTGTTTGTGGTTGTGTGTTTGTGGTTGTGTGTTTGTGGTTGTGTGTTTGTGGTTGTGTGGTTGTGGTTGTGTGTTTGCGTGTGTGTGTGTGTTTGTAGTTGTGTGTTGTGTGTATGTTTGTGGTTGTGTGATTGTGATTGTGTCTTTGTAGTTGTGTTTGTAGTTGTGTTTGTGATTGTATTTGTAGTTGCGTGTTTGTGATTGTGTTTGTGATTGTGATTGTGTGTTTGTGGTTGTGTGGTTGTGTTTGTGTGTTTGTGGTTTTGTGTTTGTGGTTATGGGTGTGTGTGATTGTGTCTTTGTAGTTGTGTTTGTAGTTGTGTGTTTGTGATTGTGTTTGTGATTGTGGGTTTGTGATGTGGTTGTGTGTTGGTGGTTTTGTGTTTGTGGTTATGTGTGTGTGATTGTGTTTGTAGTTGTGTGTTTGTGATTGTGTTTGTGGTTGTGTGTTTGTGGTTGCGCGTTTGTGGTCGTGTGTTTGTGATTGTGTGTTTGTTGTGTGTTTGTGGATTTTATCTGGCAAACTATCTAGTTGAGGTCCAGCGGTGCACACTGCGATCGGATCCTTGCGGTTGAGGTCCAGCGGTGCACACTGCGATCGGATCCTTGCGGTTGAGGTCCAGGGGTGCACACTGCGATCGGATCCTTGCGGTTGAGGTCCAGGGGTGCACACTGCGATCCGGAGCTGGCCAGACAAGATCGGAGAAGCAGATTGGCGATGAAGATTGGCGAGGAAGGAAGCAAGGAGGAAGGAGGAAGGAGGAGGACGAGGAGGCGGCGGAGGCGGAGGCGGAGGCGGAGGCGGAGGCGGAGGCGGAGGAAGAACAGCTGTGATAAAATCTAACAACCCTCACCTGGCAGGTGGGGAACAAGTTGAGAGCAACACCTCATCCACTCAACCAACTGCCCAAGTCCATGATCCTATTGGCCAATTTGCCCATTGTGGCAGTGTTTCCCCTCTCTTCATTCACCAATGGCTTCACCAATCGCCCCTCCGAATCTGTCTGGTTCCCGGGCCCAGCAGGGCCAACGTCAGGTGCAGCGCGGCAGCTGTGCCGTTGCTCTGCCCTCGTGGGCCCAGCTTGGGTAAAAGCTGCTGCGCCTGGGCACCGAAGCGGCGCGCCTCCTGGCAAGCGGTCGATGTCGAGTCGATGTCGTCGATGTCGTCCGGACCAGCAGCGGTTTTCGGACACCAAGGGACGCGGTAGGGGCGGAGCATCTCGTGGGCATTTAGCACCCAAGGGTGTGGTTCGGCTTCACCAATCATAAGAAGTGAAACCATGGAACTGCCACAAGCTGTCTGTCACTGTACTAACCATGGGTGACGAGTGACGAGCCTCTGGTAACAGAAGGGCCTGTGAAATGGACAAGCGGTGCGCATATTTCGATAGAACATGATAGAACCCAATATTTGGACACTTGGTTGGTGGGGCCCTATTTAATTTTGCCAAATCGCCCCCCCAAAAACTTGCGAAGTTCATGGTTCTTGTGGACCCTGCATTGCTAGGTCGTCCGCCCCTTTCTCTGAGTAAAGCCGGCACAAATCCGCCAAATGGCACACCATCTGGCAATTCCATCAGCATTTCACACTGGCTGTCCATGTCACTGGCTTCCAGTGCGCCCCATCACGAGGGGAAGCACTAGCTTCACAAGCCTAAGAGCACATGCCCTGAGCACTGAGCCTTTCAAACCGCGGTTGGTTTCCCGAACGGGAAAGAACACTCACACTGGTCTTAAACTCAATTGCCTCATCTCGAAGACTCATCCCTCGAGCGTTGGCGACCCACATTTCTACATCAATCTTTTGGGCCGTGTTCTGCATGTTCCCACTGTGTTCAGTGGTTCCTGTGCTCACCTTGTTCATCCTCCAACTCAGTCTTCACTGAAAATGTTGAACCTCTGCGTAGGCTCCACCGGTGTCCCCCATGTCCATGCTCTGGGCGGTGGCACCATCGCCCTGGTCCAATCCCAGCTGTGCCAGTTGATCTGCCAAGGATTGCCGGGGGTCCAAATGCAACGCACATCTCACCACATGCAACTCCAACATGTGCACGTCATGTCGCAAGGTGTGCTGCATCAACTCCGATCCCTGGTTGCGATTGGCTTCGATGATCAAATCACCTGCAGGCAACAAGTGGGCAAGCATAAACAAAATTTCTGACGACTTCCCCAAACCCTGTTGCCCAACTCCAAAACATGCAACACATCAAACTAAAACTAACCGCCTGAACAACATAAAACGACCAACAGTTCAGTCGCACCCCCTATGCTTCCTTTTCTCTGATCAGCTTCACCACGTCGCACCTGGGAGCAGCTGGTCCCTGGCAAAATACTTTCGACAGAAGCTGTTCCATTTCCCCAACGTGGAATTCTCCTTGGCGGTCCGGGAGCCGGAGGATCAAAACCACTTACAGCGGACAGAACGACCCCCCCAAAAAAGACACGAACGCCCATTGAAAGGAATGATCAAAGAGAACAAATGGAACGATCAACATCAATCAAGATCAATCAACATCAAACCATCAATCAACCCAAATCAACACCAGGTCTCGTGCACCGCGAGCACCATGAGCGCCGAGGTCGTAGGCCCCAGGGTGATGGGCTCGGCCACCAAGCCCACGTTGCGGCCCTCCTGAGCGAGCTCCAAACGCCCAGAGCGAAGCCCCGAAACGCGGCGAAACATGGCGAAAGGCCCAGAAGTGCCGGTCGCTCCCCATGTTTCCGAGATTTCGAGCAAGCTTGGCATCCCAAGAGGATGAAAGACTCCCATGCATATATGTTATATACGAAACGATATATTCCATAGAGGACGCAATAGGTTAATTATGGCTAATTACGCATCCCATACATAGCCCAGCTCGAAAAGTGAAATGGTCCTGCAAACCATCCTCACATTGTAAGACCTTGAAATCGTCGCAGGAACCTTGAAATCTGACGACTCAAGATTAGTAAGGTTAAAGGGCAAAACCTTCAATTTCTCGTCGTTTCAACAGTGGCCGTCCCAAGAACTAGTTGAGTGGAGGTGAGTGGAGCACCTTGCATGTTCAGGGAAAAAGTTCGGGCGCCAGCACGCGCCCAGTGGGGGATTCGGTTGGTTTGGCTCGTGACGCGAAAGGCTGAGGGAGGAGGGCTGGGGCGGAGAGCCAGAAGTGAGAAAGACAAAAACTCCAACCTTCCATCTGTGGAAGAGGTAGGATGTCGGATGGGGGTCGCTCTGAAGACTTCTGCAGCTTTGGCCGCCCAGTGTCCACAAAGGCTTTCACCAAGAAGTCATAGGGACCCAGGGGCCTGAGGTTCCTCAAGGGCAGCCAGCCTCGCTTGGCGTTTGAGTCCAAGCGTTGGACCAAGGCATTGTCATTCGATACGAAAAGAAGGAGCAAAATGTCCTCCACAGCCTCGGCGTGGAAAACGGTCCCACTTGGACATCGCTGGGGCGGTGGTCCAAAAACACATGGTGCCATGGAAAGGGCCTTGTGACATGCGGACTCTTGGCTTGGAACAACGAGTGTTCTGAGGGTGACCCCGTCTCAAGCGAAGGGGAGTGCAACTTGGACGCTCAAACAAAGGACTACAGCGTCGACGTGCCAATCTTGCTATTTGCTTTTCCGTCACATATATTAGACTATATTCACATACAGTCCCCAGTTCGCCCCAAAAACCGTAGACCAGAAACAGCCGAACGGTCCTGGTCCGCTGGTTTTGGGGGATCCAGGCGCTGTCCAGGGGCGACCAGGTCGAAGCCGCCAGTTGCACATCGTAGAGCGTCACAGCATACATGTGCCACACATGTGCCGAACTGGGGTGCCCTATAGAATTATATACCTGGACCTTCTTAAGGGGTGTCCTGTCTGGAGGTCCCTTAGTGGTGGGCTGGGGCTTCCAGCCAGGTGACCCCTTTGAAGGTGCTGGTACACACATACGTGATCATAATACTTCATACGTTATAATACACACATATAATCGCAGTCACCAAGAAAAAGCCGAACTTGGAGGATCGGGGTGCCCCGACTTCACATCCACTGGATGGGACTAAACACCACCCCGAGCTCTGTGACTCCTGGATTTAGAAGTAAGTCAGACAGCACAGCCATCAACGCTGTTCACCCCAAGGATGCATGACCTGCGCCAGACGATCCCATGGACTCACATGGACCAACACGATTCTCATTGTCCACCCAGTGGTTTTCAGGGTCGTGGTCCTCTGCCGGAAAGCAAACAGCCAGAAAAAGATCCACCGGAACAACAGCGCCGGTGGAGTAACGCTTCTCTTCGTTACCCCATGCTGGCCTTCTTGATATTTCAGCGGAGCGGCGCAAGGGAGGAACCCAGGAGTGGAAGCCATTGGGGCCACCAACGCCACCTCCACAGCGTCAATGGGAAATGAGCCTCAGGGAATTCAGGGCAAACGGAGGTTGAGCTACCCCCTCTTAGAATCCAAACCGCCGAGACCACATAAAAACGACATGTATAAAGAACTCATATTAAGCCCATGTCGTTGTTTGGGGAGTACCACGATGCAAAGAAAGAAAAGAAAACACTTAAATCAATGAAACTCTTCTGTCTCCCAGTGGCCGTCGTTGATCTGTCTCATCCGCGACTTGTAATCCAAGTATCCCAGCGGATCTTCTGTCGCTGACCACTCTGTCTCTCGCGCGCCCGCGGAGCCCGACGCGCCCTCTCCAGCGGTGGAGCCGGCGTGGGTGAAGCGCGACGGCCGGCGCGCCGCCTCGACGGGAGCGGGCGCGGATTTGGACGGCAGCAATGGCTGGAAGATGCGGCGGTGCTCGGGGCGGAGATCTTCATCGGGGTGATCCTCCTCCGGTGGTGGCATGGGTGGAGCTGCCTTGGGCACCTTGGTATGGCATGGACATCAAAGCAAAGCGTCGGCTTATGGAACTGGATGGGAAGTAAGAACCACTAAGGACACCAAGGGCATCGTGTCTGACATCAGTACTGAATCCACGTCACTTGCATGGAACCATGCGATACCGCGATACCATGTTTATAAAAGTAATCAGGCTTCCGATGGCTCCATTGTCATGGAGCTGTTTGAAACAAAGCTTCATGCAATGGCTGATGCCCCAGGCGCAAAATTTTGGTATGTTGCATTTTGATAGGGAGGCTTATAGGCTTGAACTCACCGAACTAACCACTGTTTTCACATCTCTTCACTGTTTTCCACCCATGAAGTCCCCCCAAAACCGAACGATCCTGCGCCGCGCAACGGCCGTGGGTTCCGGCGGTGCAGGCACAAGCGGGGCGGGCAGGAAGCCGTTGGGAGCACCTGAGAGGAACGCGGCGACCAGGTCCCGACGCGCGAAAGCTCGCTTCAACTGGATATGACTGGGGGGTGTGACCTACACAAGACATGAGACACAAAGAGATGTCACGACGTGGAGGTGTTTTCACCTTCGCCTTTATGGGCGCTACATGTTTTTTGCTTTGTGGCCGATGTTTAAATTCCATGTGCTTCGTGGCGTCTCCTATATAACTGCATATAACTGCTGATGTTTGAATCTCGGATTGTATGTTCTTCTTTGATGATGACCCTCCAAAGGCTAACAGGGAGCCACCCATTGAGATTTCTCTAGAGCCCAACGCTTTAAAAACACTTGGGATGCGTACAATATCTCCTGCCTGTCCACTAAAACACTAGATCGTACTGGGCACTGGATGCCGTTTTCTGGTGAGGATCCTTTTGTTGTTTTCGCAGAACGTGCGCGACAGTTATATACCGTGTGGGCCACAACCGATTTGTCCATGTCAGGAAGCCCACTCAAAAATCCGGTCTCGAGGTTGGCCTTTACATCCTTGCTGAGCTGAGGAGCTGGTTGTGGTTCCGGGGTTCCATCCCACCAGTCCGCAAAGAACACGACCTTTTTTCCGACCTATACTCCAGTCCAGCCATATAATCAAAACATCGCAACCACCTTGATTTGATTCATGACTTGTGCATATTAGGAGCGGGTGGGGAAAAAGCCCAAGGAGGAGGGTTCCCGTTCAAGTGGTTATTAACACTATGCACTCACCTGCTACAAGGCTGTGTGCAACCAACCCCTCCACCCACCATGTCCAAATAATAGCAAATCAACAGCAACAAGCAAAACAGGCCTCAGAATCATGCTTTCCTCTTGGATTCGGGGGAGATCGAGATGCACGGGCTTCTTTCAACTCAACAACTGGTTCCGCTTAATTAGCTGTTTTCATGATTGTTCATGTCTTGGCCTTGTGGATTTCAAAGCCTTGCGAACATCCAGAGACCATCGCCAAGTAGATCCAACTCAACAAAATGATCTCTTCACCAACCGTTCACCCGCGTCCAAGACGGATTCCCCCCCCAACCATCGCCCAAGCGTCTTCTCGCCCAGCGATCGCGCTCTGGAGGCTCAATCGGGGCTCGCATCTGGCAGAAGTCGCTCGTGGAGGCCTCCCAGCCTCAGCTGAGGCTGGAGAGTTCGGGCCCTCAGCGGCCCCAGTGTTGGTCGGTTTGACCTCATTTGATCTCATTTTATTGGATATATACTGAGTTTGGGTCATACAAAAACACTAAATAGTAGACTTATAAATAAGGTAATGGACCAGGTTTTACTGGGTCATAGGCGCTATGACATTGTTGACCATATTTTACTCCGGAATTGTTCAGCTGTTCCAAACATGTCCAAGCCGCACGGCAAAGGACGGAACATCATGGGGCATGACCCAAAACAGTCCACAAAACCTATTCAGAATTCCAAGCGTCCTTTCCCATCCATGCGGCGTCCTTCCCAGGGATCCTGGCCTTCTTGCCAGGGATGCCTTCGCGACTGGGCTCCTTTGCCCTCTGCTTTCCCCCCTTGGGGAGGGCACGGATGGCTTGGACCGCTGGGAGAAACCCCCTGCCCACCCCATGG